TGTCAGAACGTTATTTCGAAGCCAATTTGAGACAGTGTTGTAGCCCAACTGAGCGTACGCATAGACTTCTTGCCATGTACTTGCACTAAAAAGGAGGACAGTATCATCTGCAAAACTTATGATTCGCCCTTTAGGAAGTGTGAGCATACCCAGTTCGTTAATATATATAAGAAATAAGGTTGGAGAAAGTACGCTGCCCTGGGGCGTTCCATAGGTAGTTGTGCATTCGGCACTGACGAACTTATCCACCTGAACGCGCTGAGTACGTCCACTCAAGTAGTCTTCAAAAAGTCGCAGTTGAGTACCTCTAATTCCCATACTCTCCATCCTACGTAAAAGTATGGGTACAGAAACCGTGTCGAAAGCTTTGGAAAGATCTAGAAAAATGCCGAGAACTTTCTGCCCATTGTCCAAGTTTGTAACAATATAATTTGTGAGGTCATGAATCGCATCGGACGTAGATTTGCCTGACCTAAAACCATATTGTGAGGGCGATAGTATGTTATTTTTTTCCAAACAGTTTACGAGCCTGTTGTTCATTATGCGTTCAAGTATTTTGGAGAAGGTAGAGAGCACGTCTATAGGTCTATAGTTATCGGCACGATTTCTGTCCCCACCCTTATAAATCGGGTGTATAGTCGACTGTTTAAAAGCTTGGGGAATTTTCCGGTTGTCAGAGCAAGATTGCAGATATATGTCAGGGGTGGGACAACTACATTAATATGCATTTTAAGGAGATAAGAGGATATTCCATCCCAACCCACAGCACAGTCGTTACGGAGAGATATTATTAACCTTGCAACCTCGTCCTCATCCGTTGGTAACAATACCATGGACTGCGAGTTGTTGTTAAAAGCTTTTTTTGTTGACTCTGTCAGTCCACCCAATATCTTTTCCGCAAGATTTTTACTTACGTTAGCAAAAAAAAACATCAACAACAGATAGCTCCGGAGAAGATGATAGAGTTAATAAGTGATGGGATGAATTCTCTTTCTTTTTCGCTCTGTTTGTTATGTTGTTTATTGCTCCCCAGAGTTGCTTAGGATTATTATTAGCCTTTTTTAATTCATTTTTTTCATATTCCAGTTTAATTTTTTTAACAACTTATTACAATAGTTTCTGTACCTAGTAAAACATATTTTTAAGACTTCGTTATCTGGCGACTTCTTTGATTTTTTTGTGTAAGTTATCTCTGTGTCGAATACAGCGTAAAAGGTCAGGAGTTATCCATGGCTTAACGATTTTTTTACGGTTTGCTACTTTCACGACTTTTGTGTTTTTTTCGACCGCCTGTTTGATAAGACTTATCATTAATTCCTGCTGCTATATGAGGATCTTGGGTATTATATACTTCACCAAAGTCGATTATTTTCATGTCGTCAGTCAATTGATAATAGTTAATGCGCGTCGTTGTTTTTTTAACCGCTATTTTGGGCATTTTGCTTGCGAGAAATAATAACACGGTATCATGATCAGTTAGGGCTGAATGGGCGACTAATGTTGAAGCAGGTAATAGAGTTTTGAGGACAAAACGACCAAGACATGCATTTTGTCTAGTGGGCAAAGAATGTGCAGGCGGAAGGCCGTGTGACGCTACTAAGTTTAGGTAATTAAGCTTGCTTATGTCGTGGCATTCGTCATGGATGTTAATGTTTATGTCCCCAGTTATTATTATATTTTTGTAATGTGTGATATTAGTCAAGGTTATGTTAAGCGAATGCAGGAAGTTAGTGACATCTCTATGGCTTGGTGGTCGATATATTGCTAATAAAATGGTATTTTGTTTTATTTTTATTTGTAGACAATTTGCATCTATAAATGGGGGTTCTTCTACAGTAACCTGTAGGTTTTTATGTACGTATACAACAACACCCTCGTTTTGTGTTAGATTGTTAGCAGTATTAAAGTATTTATAACCTGTTATGTCAGGGATATTATGTGTATTGGGAAGCCAACATTCAGTTAATGTAATTATGTCCCAAACAACCTTAGTCCTAGCGAGTGTGGTATAGAAACCAATCATATTTTTTGAGATACTTCTAATATTTTGATTAAGTATTTTGAGTGATTGCTTAGGGTTGAAGTTTAGTGGGATGCAATTGTCTAAGTCACAGGTAGATGAATTCGACACTGAGACAGAATCTATGTTGTATGTGTTATTTAGTATATTATTACTATTGTGGTGTTTATTTTTCCTAGTTACATTTTTATATGTGACATTTAATAGAGCTAAATTGATAATGACAATTAATTGGTCGGCAGAAGTAGTACAAAAAGAGAGCTTATAGCATTTATATATTCTCGTATTGCACACAGCACATGTGTTCTTAGTTAATAACATTAGTTGTATGTAGTGTGTGTATGTATTTGTTAGTGTAGTATTTGTATGTATGTAATAAATTGTCTTTGATAATTACGTTAAATTTAAATAACACCATACTAATAGATCCTGTTCAGACAAAGCTGGAGCGAATCACTAGTTATATAATAAAACGCTAACCTTAGGTGGGAGACCAAGTTTTTTCCTCTCCTCCTTCTCCATGGCCTCTCTCTCAGCCTTCTTGTCTTCCCGCATCTTAATGAGGTAGCGGACACTCTTCATTGTCTTCTCGTGGTCGGCTGCTATCCAGCTACATTGACAGGATTGAGTCAGCTTTTTGTACAAAATAAGGGTGATAAAGGAGCACAACGTCAACCTCACGATATCTTTCTACATTTATCCTCGATCGATAGATACAAAGAATGCTACATTTCCAAAAAGGGTCTCCGGTTCTCTACACTCACCATACAAAACACAGCAGCATTAAGCTGCTATTTCACGCTGGTATTCTGTGAGAGCATGGTCCTTCCCCGATCGAGCTGACGCATTCGTGCTACAACGATAATATAGCTGCAACGTTGTTCACCAAGTGGAAATATACATGTTACGAAGTATAGACATACCTAGATTTTACATTTAGATTTTTTACCCGAAAGTTTTAACCATAAATATCATTACAATCGAATACATCTTAGCTTAATAGTTTTAGTTGTAGCTGGTTAACCCAGGTGTAAACGCAACTTAACGTTTTGTCTCGGCATACATACAAAGTTGTGAAGGATGGCAAGCTCGTCTGCAACTGCGAACCACACAATCATACTTAAAAGATAGTGATAAATTTGGTGTGTTTTCATCTGTACGAGAAATTAATAATTTCACATTTGTTTTTAGATGTGGTAACTCTGCAACTAGCACCTACCGTTTTCTCTCTGCAATCTCCTCCTGCACTCCTCCCCTCTGCCACGCTTCCGCACAAGCGCGGTCTCGTGGGAAGACGGGCCTGTTGTCTAGATTCAGTAGCTCTTTCAAGCGCAGTGTTAGGGTTTTTCTGTACGCAGGGATGTTGCGTACCACAGGGTTGCCCGTTAAGACCAATACTGTAAGTGATTTTTTTATTAAATCATGCTAATGCATACGCACAATAGTACTCAGTAAGATGAGACTGTCCTCCCTACACGTACATGTCATGCGTTAGATTTTTTATAACAGCCGAGTTCAGCTATTTGAAGTGAAAACGCTTGGAGAATATACAATAAGTTTTTTTTTTTTTACTTACTACAGTGCCAGTGCTTGTCTACAACCCCATCGTGTAGTAAGTGATGTTTACCCAGCCCCTTGCGATGAAAAATCTCACTTTTTATAACACCTGTTCAGATAACAGTTTTTAACAAATATGGATAAATGTCAACCACCTGTCTAAAACATTTTCAGCGAAAAATGTCGTTTGATAGACAAACGATCAAAGACCGAGGTCCAAGACCATGACCAAGGACAAGAGACCAAGACCATTAGCGTTCCGATTTGTCAAATTTGGCGCGAATCGCTAATAGTACTTAATGGTCTTACTATGCCCCTCCAGCGAAGTATTGTATCAATTAAGTCAAAAAACACTTACATTGCCATGATGAATCACATGACATCATCTATTATTATCATAATGGCCTGCCCCATAGACTAATTGGGGGGTTATTGGCATAGTTGCCAAGCCTTAGTTGCCCCAATTTTTTGTTCATTTTTTTTTTGTACGTGATAAAACCATGCCGCAGTTATATTATGGTTTTAGCATGAATGGGTTGCCTCAACCGGGGAAGGACCACACTCATAAAATACCAGGGTAAAATAGCAGCTTAGTGCTGATTTTTGTTTGTCATCTTTTCTATAAAAAAATACTTTTCTCGTGTAGCTAGTTACTGCCGCCTACAGATAAAAAATTCGTTTAATATTCTGAGCTGCTGCCCATCTCCTCCGCTTCATTTCCCTCTGTTGCTTCTTATGCCTTAGATTACATTCGTTTACGCCGCCAATACGCGTTATCATCTTACTACCCATAAATTTCGCTACCATATCTAAAAATAACTTTACCTTTTAAGATCGCCATATCGGCCAAAATGTCCACAATGAGAGGATCCTCCAAGCGGTTGTAAGACAAATCCAAGACCGAAAGATTCTTGCAGGACACCAAGTGCTCCAGATCAGCTGTGAAAATTAACTTTTTGGTATAATTTCTAATTAGGGATGATATAAAAGTAAAAGTAAAGAAGTACCGTAACAGCATCCATATACATCCTACTGCTGGGCACAAGACTCCAGCTATTTCTGAGAGAGTTTTAGACCAATTATTCCCCAGATCCCTCGTACGTCGTATCGGCGGACCTCACTTTTCTTTGAAAGGTACCCAATATTTATTTTTTAAATTTGCACGCCTGGATTAAGCAGAATACTATGGAACTAACTTTATGCTATAATAATTTTGTAACATCTACATTCTAAGCAAATAAGTAATTATAAATTCAAAATGAATTCAGAATGTTCAGTTCAACATACATTTTATAGGTATAGACCTAATATATTGCGTATATATCTAAATGACACAGAGGAAATTCCTGGTGTGGGGGTAATGTATATTTTAAGATGATAGAAAATGCATATACTTACCTACGGTGGAAAGCATGTTGTGTGCAATACTCAGCGTGTGCAAATCAGGTACTACGTCCAAGTTTTCAATCTTTGGAACGAAATTGTGGTCCAAATTCAAGGTGTCCAATTTTGGACACCCCTGGAGATTTTCAATTTTTCTAACCACATTATAATGGAGATAGAGACATTTCAACTCTGATTGGTTCTCCAGGCCTTCGATTCTTTCAATTCCGTTATTCTCCAAGAATAAGCATTTTAGTCCGGTGTATTCATCCAAATTTTCAATTTTGGAGAAACCCTGGAAAAAGTATATAACAACATAGATAAATGCACTTTTAATAAAAATAAAGTCACAAACTTATAGTTCACTTGAGGCAAGTGGCTACAGCATTCCATGGACCCCTGCAGCCAACTTCAAACAAGCAATACTACAGATGCGTTGTCATCTCTGGGAACTAAGATGGAAAGCCTCACGGCCTGTAATTATACTGGCTCTCCTTATTCTTCAGACCGGAACGCAGCAGCAGCAGTAGTTTTCCGGTATGTGGTAGACCCACGCTGCAGTTATATTATAGTTGTAGCACAAATGGGTCGGCACGACCGGGGCGGGACCATGCTTTCGCAGAATACCAGCGTAAAACAGCAGCGTAATGCTGCTGTGTCTCGTATGGTGAGTGTAGAGAACCGGATACCCTTTTTACTGAAATCGAGGCATTCCGTCTTAGTCCTTTTCAACGCATTGGCATTTGATTCTTAATTGTAAATAAATGTAGATAGGCCATAGCATCCACTGACCATCAAGTTGGCTCTGTGCTTGTTTGTCACCCAATGCTATAAAAAAGTAGTGCACGCATTATACATTTGTTTATTTTTAAATTGGTCCAATCATTGTCAAAAAAAAAAAATATATATATATATATATACAGAATGGGGTCCCACATATATGCAATAAATGAAACCACAAGTAATACTAGTCCGTAGAAGCGTAGAAAAATTAAATATTAAATTAAAACCCGTAAAATAAAAAAGTGAAATTTTCAAACAAAATAAATATTAAAATAAATTCAGTAAAAGTGAACACTCTGTTTAGACAACGTACCTTGACCCCTTGGAAGAGTGACAACGTTGCACGCGGGTGGCATGGCGATTGTCAGCACGGCCTATGGTTCGTTGGACAATGTGCAACGAAATAAAAACTTACTCACTAAACTGTTTAGATATTTTACCGCCACTTTTTTATTTCGCGAAAATGGAACTGAACGAAATAAATATTATTGCATATTAGTAGCAAAATTTAATGAAACCCTAAATTTTAAAATTTTCAAAATGTCCGCCACGTTCCTGAATGCACAAGTTACATCGCCGCATAATGTTGTCCTGAAGCCTGCTCAACAAATTTCGTTCAGGATCCAGAGCCAGGGCTTTTAATTTGTTAAAGGCGGCAACAATACGATTGCGCAGTTCATCTTCGGTTTCGGAGATCTTTGAGTACACTTCATTTTTAATAAAGCCCCATAAAAAGAAGTCTAGAGGAGTGAGGTCGGGCGATCGAGCTGGCCACCTGCGAGGGCCATAGCGCCCTATCCATTGTTCGCCGAACATGGTGTTAAGCCACTCTCTCGCGAGGAGTACAGAGTGTGGAGGAGCTCCATCTAACTGGGACCATACCCTTTGGTAAGCTGCCACAGACAATCCTTCTAAATATTCTGTTATTGGGCCGTTAAGAATATTGAGAAATTTCTGTGCATTCAGGTTTCCGTCAATAAAAATAGGGCCGATTATTTGATCTCCGTGAATGCCTGCCCAAACATTAATGGAAAATCGGTATTGATGAGCTGATTCCCTAAATAAATGGGGATTCGTATGGCTCCAGTAACGCATGGATTGTCGGATCCATATGCCGTTTCGAGTAAACGTGCTTTCATCTGTCCAAAACACATTTGTTAGGAAACGTTGGTCTTGAGACATTTTTTCCAGTACCTAGTGGCAGTAAGATTCTCTAATCGGCTTATCGCGGGGCAGCAGCGCCTGCACCTTAACATATTGTTGCATGAATAAGTCAACTAGCGTCATCTAGTGTCAGGAACGAGAGCGAGGGGAGCATTGAGAAAATGACATCACAAATCACTCAACCGACAGCGCCTAGTCGAAACTCGAACGCTCGGTACCTTGCGCGTGTTTACTTGAACATTCTGGATATTTCTTTGCTAATTTAAATATATAGGCGCTGCAAGATGCGATGGGAGCAGAGTTGAACTCGGCGACACAAGCGATGCTTCGGAGCGGAATTAAGTGAATTAGTGTGTTTAAATTATTAGTGTTTTTAGTTTTAATTTGTGTAAAGTAAATTAAAGTGTTAATTTAGGTAATTTTATCGGCAATTTTTATTGTCACGAACCTCAAGCTCGTAACAATTGGTGTCAGAAGTGGGATAAAATCATGCCGATTTTACCTAAGGAGGAAACGGAGGGTGTCCGTACCCGAAATCAACGCCAGCAGGAGACGGACCAAAGAAGATTTGGTGGTGCAACGCCGCAGACGTCGGAGAGCCAGCCGCCGGCTGCAGGCCCGTCAGTAGCTCCTACATCTGCAGCACCCGATTTAGGTGCTCTGATGGTGATGCTGCAGGAACAGGCTCGCCGACAGGAGGAACAGGCCCGCCGACAGGAAGAGCAGATGCTCCTCGTGAAGGACATTCACGCTAACTTCGGGAAAGAGATTAGGGAGGTGAAGGATAGGGTTGCTCAACATGACAACCGCCTGTCGGAAGCTGAAACCCAAATCAAGGAAGCTAAAACCCAAATCGACCAAGTAAACAATCGGGTTGATTACGTGATGGCTGACGTGAAGAAAACGCTGGACGACCTCAAACTGGGGGATGGAACTACAGCTCCCGTAGTAGCTACTACACCTTCGCTACGTGGGTTCAAGGTGCCACCATTCGACGGGACTTCTTCCTGGTCAGCCTACAAAATCCAATTCGAGGCTGTTATGAAGGCGAACGGCTGGAATAAAAGTCAGGCCATGACTGCTCTCACACTAGGCCTGCGCGACCAGGCCTTAACAGTTCTGGAAGCTCTCGGTGAGGAAGTGACTTATGAGCAACTCCTTGAGGCATTGGAGGCGAGATATGGCGACGCTCACCTGGAACACGTCTTTCGTGCGCAGCTTAAAGATCGTGTGCAGCGCATCAACGAAAATCTGCAGCAGTGGGCTCTAGAAGTGGAGAAGCTGGTGCGAAAAGCATACCGGTCTGTACCTGCGCTCATTGAAGGGAACCTGGTGCAGACATTCATCGACGGCATCCGCGACCTGGAAGTCAGAGCTGCTGTGAAGCTCGGGCACCACGAGACGCTTAAGGACGCCTTGGCCCATGCACTGGAAGTGGAAGCCGTGCGGCAGGATCATCGTTCCCATCGCGTCAGGGAGGTTGCAGCAGCTACAGTTCGCGACCGCAACAAAGGATACAGCCCAAGGTGCTATGGCTGTGGAGAAAAGGGCCATCTTCGATCCAGCTGCCCTAAGCGAACCCTAGAAAGGGAAATTGAACGATCTCAGGAGGGTAGTGCGGCCAACAGCACCGCCCAGCAGCGGCAGGGAAACGAGTAAAAGCCAGAACTGCGGGGCGGGTGCTGGCTGATGTTAAAAGAGCCCCAAGGATCTCGATCTCACAAACCCATGATGGGAACAGCCTAATCATAAAGGGCGAGATCAACGGAATGCCGTGTAAGCTGACCATAGACACTGGAGCCTCGCGTACGGTTGTTAGTTCCCAACTTATAAGTCAGTTCCTTGGGGACTCCGCATACAACCGAGAACGCATTAATTTGGTAACAGCCACCGGTCAGCGTATACCCATCCGTGGAGAGAAGGAGATGGAGTTGAAGCTAGGCAACGTGATCTACCTGCATAATGTCATCGTGGCTGATATAATGGACGACTGCATCCTAGGCCTAGACTTTATGAGGAATAATTGTTGTGAGATCGACGTTAAGCAAGGTGTTTTGAAATGTGGACAGGAGGAACTTTTTATGGAAGGTGCGTTACCAGGGAACGTGTACAGCATCAAGAAGATTGTTCTTCCGCCGAGATCGGAAACGATTGTTCCGGTTAGTCTACCTCGAAACGCTGGGCAAGCTCACCGTTGTGTACTTGTGGAAAGGGTAAACAATGACCTTCCATGGAAAGTAGCTCGAACCCTGGTCAGGACCACTGACATCTCAGGAGTACGTGTGCTGAACCTTTGCGACCGGGAACAGATTATAGAAAAAGGCACACTGGTTGGTACTTGTGAGGAAGTGGATTGGTTACGTCAGTGCCAATATATATCGAGTGGGACCCCCAGCAAGGATTCAGAAACGAGAGTGACCACACTTTTGGAAGACTGTCGCAGTGTTCTGTCCCCGAACGAATTGGTCAAGGCGAAGAAGTTGTTACTCAAGTACGCCGATGTATTCTCATCAAACGATGCTGACATAGGAAAGACTGGTTTGGTTCAACACAAAATAAACACAGGTGAAGAGTTGCCTATCCGTCAGCGGCCAAGACGATTGCCGGTAGCACGTGAAAAGGAAGTGGAAACCATGGTTAAGGGAATGGTGAAGGATGGTGTTATTGAACCTTCATCTAGTCCATGGTGTTCACCCGTGGTACTGGTAAAGAAGAAGGACGGCAGCTTGCGGTTTTGTGTTGACTACCGCCGTCTGAACGTCGTTACTAAGAAGGATAGCTATCCCTTGCCAAGAATTGACGACACGCTGGACATGCTTACAGGAGTAAAGTGGTTTAGCACGCTGGACCTAAAAAAGTGGCTAATGGCAAGTTGAAATTGACCCTAAGGACAAGGAGAAAACTGCGTTCTCGACGGGAAAGGGTCTGTGGCAATTTAAAGTAATGCCGTTTGGGTTGTGCAATGCTCCAGCAACGTTTGAAAGGCTGATGGAACTTGTACTTACCGGGCTAATTGGCGACGCCTGTCTGGTCTACTTGGATGACATCATCATCGTGGGCCGTACGTTTGAGGAACACCTTCAAAACTTGGAACGCGTGCTCATGAAGATTAAGAGTGCCAACCTCAAGTTGAGTCCAAAGAAATGTTCACTATTCAAACGGCAAGTCAACTTTTTGGGGTATGTAGTGTCGGAAGAAGGTATCCGCACGGATCCAGAGAAAATCGCAGCTGTAAAGGATTGGCCGGTTCCAAAAGACAAGACGCAGGTTAGAGCATTTTTGGGTTTGTGCTCCTATTACCGACGTTTTGTGAAGAACTTTGCAGATATAGCCAAACCTCTGCATAAGCTAACCGAGGAGAAGCGACATTTCTGCTGGGATGAAAGTTGTAATATCGCATTCCAGGAGCTCAAGGACCGTCTGTGCAAAACACCTATTTTGGGATACCCTGATGCAAGCAAAGAATTTATAGTTGACACAGACGCAAGTGATATAGGATTTGGCGGTGTGTTGTCTCAACGGAATGGTGACCAAGAGGTCGTGATAGCGTACTTCAACAAGTCGTCAAAACCGGAAAGGAACTATTGTGTCACTAGACGCGAATTGCTAGCTGTGGTAAAGTCGTTGCAGCATTTTAGCAAATATCTTCTGGGGCGAAAATTTCACTTACGAACTGACCATGCTGCACTAAAATGGCTATTGCAGTTTAAAAATCCAGAAGGACAAGTTGCGAGGTGGATTGAACTACTGCAGGAATACGACTTTGAGATCGAACATCGCAGCGAGAAATCTCATGGCAACGCAGATGCATTGTCAAGAAGACCTTGTCCTGAAGATTGCAAACATTGTACTAGGCAAGAGAGTAAGGAAGTGGTATCCGTGAGGATGCTCAGGGCAGACCACCTCAGCAACGAGTGGAAGGACAGCTTACTACATGCACAGCAGGAAGATCCGGACATCAAGCCGATTCTGGAATGGATAAAGGCCAGTGCTCCCAAGCCCAAGTGGAGTGACGTCTCAGCAATGAGTTCGACCACTAAAAGCTATTGGGCCCAGTGGGACAGCTTGCTGCTTCAGGATGGAGTTCTGTGTCGTAAATGGGAAAATGTTCGGGGAGACAGCTGTCATTTGCAAATGGTTGTCCCTAAAGCTAAAGTGCCGGATGTTCTACAGCTGTACCATAATGATTGTTCAGGAGGCCATCTGGGAGTTAAACGAACTCTACTGAAGATCTGAGAACGGTTTTACTGGGTCCACTGTCGAAACGATGTCGAGGACTGGTGTCGCAAATGTACAAGTTGTGCGGCTGTAAAGGGACCTCAGACTCGTAGTAGAGGTGCATTGAAGTTGTACAATGTTGGTGCACCATGGGAGAGAATAGCCATTGACGTGGCGGGGCCGTTTCCGGAGAGTGAAAGCGGTAACAAGTATTTCATGGTTGTGATGGATTACTTCACTAAGTGGCCAGAAATCTTCGCCATTCCAAATCAAGAAGCTTCAACTGTTGCAGATAAACTAGTTCATGAAGTCTTCTGTCGTTTTGGAGTACCTTTAGAGATTCACAGCGATCAAGGAAGGAATTTTGAGTCTCAAATATTCCAGGAAACTTGCCGAGTTATGGGTACTCATAAAACAAGAATGACTTCTTATCACCCGCAATCTGATGGAATGGTGGAACGATTTAATCAGACATTGGAGAGGTACCTAGCAAAAGTTGTAGACAATCGGCAACGAGATTGGGACAAGCACATACAACCGTTTTTGTTGTCATATCGAAGTTCTGTTCACGAAAGTACAACAGTGACACCAGCTTTCGCAAACTTTGGAAGAGAATTACGGCTGCCTGCAGACCTGATCACCGGGATACCACCTGATGCTCCACGCAGTATAACCGATTATGCAAATGACTTGCGGAAAAAATTGAATGACGTTTATGAGCACGTCAGACAATCGGGCCAGCAAATGTCTGAAAAGATGAAAACCCGGTATGACCGCAAAATGAACAACAAAGGGTTCGACGAAGGTTCACTTGTGTGGTTGCACAATCCAGTCCGCAGCAAAGGGAAATCTCCTAAGCTTCAAGCTAAATGGGACGGCCCGTACCGGATTGTAACCACGATCAACGATGTGACCTACCGGATACAGAAAGGCGCAAGAGGGACTCCTAAGATCGTCCATGTGGATCGCTTGGCGCGTTATTATGGGACCGATAATGCTCGGGACGAGCATGTCTTAGGAGGGGGCAGTGTTGCATGAATAAGTCAACTAGCGCCATCTAGTGTCAGGAACGAGAGCGAGGGGAGCATTGAGAAAATGACATCACAAATCACTCAACCAACAGCGCCTAGTCGAAACTCGAACGCTCGGTACCTTGCGCGTGTTTACTTGAACATTCTGGATATTTCTTTGCTAATTTAAATATATAGGCGCTGCAAGATGCGATGGGAGCAGAGTTGAACTCGGCGACACAAGCGAAGCTTCGGAGCGGAATTAAATGAATTAGTGTGTTTAAATTATTAGTGTTTTTAGTTTTAATTTGTGTAAAGTAAATTAAAGTGTTAATTTAGGTAATTTTATCGGCAATTTTTATTGTCACGAACCTCAAGCTCGTAACAATATTTATAAGGACGTAGTTTGTTCCTTTTCAGCACTCGGTGTATTGTTTTATGCCTCACTCTAAACACACGCCCAGCTTGTCTAAGGCTGCAGGTGGGATTCCGATCGAAATGGTCTAAGACTCGTTATTCGAACGAGGGTGGAAAGTGACGCGGAGCAACTCCTTCATGAGTGTTGGGCACTATGCGCTGATTATCCCTGATTCTTTGGACAGCACCTAGGATTGTCCGGACGCTAGTAGGGCAGACGTGAGTTGCGCCGTATCTCTCACCATAAGTACGCAGAGTTAACGCTGAATTTTGGTGGCATTCGCCGTACAATAAAACCATGTCTGTATACTCTGCCGCACTGTAAAAATGCTGTTGTCTTGGCATTTTCCGCCGCCAAAACGTATACACAAAAGTCAAGTAGTGTCAAAAACACTACAAAAAGTAATTAGAATTGAAATATAAAAAAATATGAAATGTAAATAGAAAGTAAAAGAATTGTTCGACTAATTGTATTTATCTTACGATAATACGATAATTATCTTACGATAAATAATTGCGATGCGTGTAGGCAGCGAAACACACCTGTATACTGGGAGAATTGCGTTTGAACCACAGAACACTATTACTCCTATCGGTTTGAACTGGAAGCCGAATTTCCAAATTCCAAAATGGCGAAAATAATAAAAGTAATAAATAGGGCGGCCACAAGGTGCAATTATCGTTTATCGATACTTTTCTTTTTACACTTACTTACCTACTACATTTGAATACAAGTAATTTTGATTTTTGATTTGATAACAATCGACAAGTTATTGATTGTTAAAAAAAGTTTATTTTTATACAATTGAACTTACGAAACTACCGATTTGTAACTTCCTGGGAAACGGGTAAGTATGTATGACTTTTTAATTGGTTGTTTTTATGGGTTTTTTAGAATGTTAAAATAATTTATTATCTCTAAATCTACAAGAACACACTTAAACAAAAAAGCTTTAAAGTTTAGCTTTAAATACTTAGGTCGTAGTGTTTTTAGAATTATCATAACAACACGATTATAAAAATCTAAAATAATTAACCATACCCTAAGTGTTTAAAGCTAAACATTTTTTTTGTTTATCGATTATTACTCCCTTTGAAAGAAGCTAATCGTCGATAACTGGTGTCCTACTCTACGACAAAGGCGCGCGCGCACTTGCGCTGTCGCCTTTGAAGTACGCCGCGTGCCTCGTGCCGCTTGTTTATGGACGCCGACAAAAGACACCGCTGTCGATATGTCGCAATACCAATAGTTTGCACTGCGTGGCAACGTCGCTTTTTTAATGTTCAAGGATTCAAGTTCATTAAATCATTGACTTAGTGACCCAATTCTGTAGAGAGTTCAAATTTGCTTAAAATTAAAACTCTACTTTTTGACGTAATTACTGGACCGATTACGTTCATTCTTTGTATATCGTCAGCAAAGGCGATAACAAGTATATGGTTTCATTTATTGCATATATGTGGGACCCATTCTGTATATATATATATATATATATATATATATATATATATATATATATGTATGTATGTATGTATATGTATATATATATATATATATGATATAATGATGATTTATTACATAAAATACTGTATATAATGTCAATCGTCCTCCTCTTACAACACCCACGGAATAAAATTGAGTTAAAGATTATCTTCGAATTCTAGTATATTCATAACGGAAACCATTCACAAATCTTACCTTAAAATGCAAATACAAGATATCATTGAGGTGTGGAGTGCGATACAATTTGTGTTGTTTACAAAGATTCCTTATAAATTCTTTAGTCATACGCGGTCCTCGGTTAGCTTCCTCCATTTCCTTGTCCAGCTTTGCTTGGAACTCTTTTTGCTTTTGGGTTTTTTCCTCGGCTTCTTTTTTCTTCTTTTCTTCGTGTTCTATAATATGTTCAATAACCTAATAATAATTTACCTTTACTCATATATTCAAAAATTAGATACAAAAATTCAACCTTGGAGATGAGCTAGAATCAAAAGTTGTAAAATATAATAGTAACTCGTACAAATCTTCTTGTTGGATATATTTCTCAGAACCTATGTAAAATTTCGAGCTTCCTCATATGAACAGCAATGTTGGAAGAATTTCTGTATCCGCAGGAGAACAAGTCTGTCAATAATAAGTTTGTCAACTAGTGGATAAGAAAGGTAAGTTAAGAATTGACCGGCCATGAAGTTACAAGAACTTATAACCGATAGGAGAAAAATATTTTCAAGTGGTAGCCTCGTACTGATTAGCGGCGTGTAGGGAAAACTAATACTTCTACAATGGACAACCATTAGATGAAGAAACGACCTAAAGAAACACGCAGGTAGTCGATAGGTGCAGGTGTCTCAGGATCGTGCTTTGTTACAATCTATGGGTTAGTAGGCCTACCAGTTCTACCTGTCTTATCCTGGCCTGTCCTGTCCTGGCTTCAAAGGTGTTTTCATGTTTATAATAATTAGATGCAGGAAATAAAAAATATACAACAAACATGTACCTTTAGTATCCATATCCGTAGCTATTTCCGTCTTTGCGAATCCCTTATCAGTATCATTAATTTTCAGATTCGTTTGTACGTCATTTTTATTTAAAAAGTCACCCTGAGCTTTAGGGTCAATCGTCTCATCAGGACTAATAGACGAGGCGAATTCTGCAGATACCTTATTTTTTAGCTCCCCTCTTCTAAGTAACTTGTCTGCTAATCGTCTGACTTCTTTATTATCTTTCATTTTGTCTTTAATATCATGTAGAAGACCATCAATTCGTTTACTTCTTTCTATCTCCTGTTTTTGAAACTCCGATAGTTTTTTATTTTCACCTTTCTCAGCACTGACGTATGATTGAACCATACTCTTCTCATTACATATGTCTTTAACGTGTTCGCTTAATGTCAGAGCGTTCGAATTTTGCTTTGGGTGTAGAATTTTATTCGATTTATCCAATATTTTATCAACCTCTTTGATGAATTCATTGCACTCTATATTTCTTGCTTCGCAATACTTTTCGCTTTTGTGAATTCTATCCTCATGACACTTTATTTCTTTATTGAGTGCACCTATAGCATTATTTATTTTGTCAATTTCGGAAAAGGTGACAGAATCGCTCTGCAAGTTATTGTCATCATTATCAATAGCATTTTTATTCCTAGCTTTTATCTTATCATGTATTTTATCATCATTTCGTTGGCTCTGGTTGTCCTTCATAAGATTTTGATAAAGGATATTTGACTTTTTAGAATTCTCTAAGGCTTCATTGACATCATTTAACAACTCGTTCATGCTATTTAATTTATTGGTTATATCAGACCGAATAAATGTACTGAGATTTTCAGCCCCTTCCACTATGTTTCGTGCAAGATTTTTCATTTCTTCAAATTCCAAATTTTTGTTTTCACGGTTTTCATTTTCTCCAACATCAAGTATGGTTTCTAAAGCGCTATGCAAAGTTTGTTCCATCCTTTCATCAAACGATTGGGAATCCACTGAAGTAACTAGGTCGTTATTTCTAATCCCAGTTATTATATCAGATTCTTTGTTGTTTTCTTCAAGCAGCTTTTGATTTGATTCATTATTTTGTTCAAAACTCTTTATTGCCTGACAATCTAAGCAGGTTGACTGGTAAGAACTGTTTGATTTATTTTCCATGCCACAAGTTAAAATTGAATTTATGTTATTTAAAACTTTAGTTGTATCTTTAAGCTTCGATTCAAAACTTTTAGGAAATACTTCTTCAAAACTAACATCGTTATCTTTTGTTGTACCTTTAAGGTTATCTAAAAACGTTCTTTTAGCTTTGCTACTGGAATCAAGATTAACTGGAGTATATACTAAAGGAATATTCATGATCTCATTTATAGAATATTCTTCTTTAATTTCATCTAAAATTCTCCTTGTGGGTTCATTTTCAATTAGACTTGACGAAGAGTCTTCCAGAATACAATTTTCTTTTATCATCTTTCTGGGACTATCCATTTTCTCGTTTGTTATTGGATTCTCATATTTCTCAGCTAATGCGAGCAACATTTCTTTCGTTTCTTGAAATCTTGTTTCATAAGATTTGTTAGTATATTCAGCGACGACCTTATCTATTGCTTCAAACTCACTATCATCACTGTGTGATACATCATCATAGATTTCTCTTTTAATTGATTCTCCCTTCATACATTCAGCATTTTCTAAAGCGCAGTTCTTTAAGGCTTGCATATTTTTATAGCGTATATTATTAATTATACTAAGGTCATCTCCTACTGAATTCATTTCATCTTTCATTTCGCTGTAACAAGGCAAATTTATCCTATCTAATGGTACACATATGTCTTTACTAACCCATTCAGACCTCTCTCTATACGCGCTCGCTATTTGTATTTGCCGAGATTTTTCAATAATTATCGGGTTATTTTCTAACATTTTCTTTACCTCCTCCGATGTAAAAGGCTCGGTACTATCCACAATCGTTGTAAACGGTTGACCAGTCATAACTTCATATTCAGATTTAACTTCTCCTGCAGCGGAAGCAGAAATATAAGGTCGATTTTCATCGAAATTGTTTTCTAAAGGTCTTAATTCATTTTCAATTATTTTTTCTATAACTTCTTCCGTAAATTTGGAATCACTAAAAAAATTTCGCAATTCTGCTCGTTTCTTTTCCAAAAATTCTACAGAAGTCTCAGATACATCCATATTTAGCTAAAACCAGCTAATACGTTTATTCAATAACAATTCAACGCTTGCTGTTATAGTTAAAAATTTCAATAAATCTATTTACATATATCCATGGTTACGGAAAATGTCAATTATTTTGTTTGATCGAAATTCAAATGTGTTGAAAAGAGATATCGTAAAGAGTATAATATAACATGACCGCTTGAAATTATGTATAAGTTTTCATAGTTTCATAGTTAGAGAAATAAAATTATCCAAGTTATTTGTCTAACCGGCTTGTGGAGAGGCACTGCAGTTGAGTGCTTGCAGCCAGCTGAGTTTCGGATTTAATTTTCCTAATAAACATATAGCTCCGTAGCAGACTGCCTAAATGTTTGGTTGAAGCGGTCCTGGCCCTCGAGTTCTAAACCCGCACGAAACAAGTGTATGTACGGCCCACAAACAATTATCCATCGTCTGGATGTTTTAAACGCTACATACACACCACCACAATACAGAAAAAAATCCTACCGTGGGTGTTACATTTTAAGGAATCAAGTTACTATTTGCAGCCTGTTAAGTTTCTGTTAAATTTTACTATCATTACTTTGTTTTGTTCAAGATATTATTTAGATACATATATTACGTGGCTATAATATTTATACCGTTAGACGATCTAAAATTAAGAATTCTAAAGAAAACAATATGTTTGTATTGCATTAGAACATAGCGTATCGGCACAAAACCCCGACTACACTTATTTTTAACGAACTGAAAGCTGAACTTCTATACTCTTAGTGCTATAAAATTGGCAGCGTGCGCTCGTCATCCTTCATCCCACACCACGCCGCGCCTTGCATTCTTGACTAATAATGGGCTACACAGCTTAAATTTTGACTATGTGATTTAAAATTGTGACTAGGACAAATTTAAATGAAAGACTATATTTAAACGAATGAGATAAAACTTTTAACCCTACGTCATATGCACAAGTTAAGCTAAAGAACTGTTAAAATGTTCTTTTTTTTTAATTCTTTTATACTTCTCCTTTTAATGCAGTACTTTTCTTTCTTTTAACTTTTATATCTGATTTAATTCTTTCCATATATTATTTTTATTTAATTTTTTTCCATTTTTTTATAATTGTCTTTTTTTTGTTTTATTATATACAATTAGGTTCCTTATAAGTTTTGCTTACTGCTATTATAGTTTTATACATTTCTACCTCTCTTTTTAATCTACTAATCTTCGTGTAGCTTTTTGCTAATACATTACTAATTTAAACTATTTTTTTATTAAAATTTCATTACTAATACATTACTTACTACTATACTTCCATTTTCTTTATTTATAACTAGAATTGCTGAAAGTGCAAATTGCATGAATCTAGATCGGCGATTGTCATCTTCCATCATTATTGCTATATTCTCTTTTGTGATCGACATATCCACGCTGCACTCGCATTCGTATCTAATTTTGTTCAATTTGGCATTGTGTAATGTGCTCTATTGTTTGATCTTTGACTGTTCAAATGTTCAATTCATGCCGTTATGGTTTCATAGATGACGCTATAGCACCCATGAGTCTAACTTTTGCGTTAAACAGCATACTTAAGTGTGGGACGACAATAGTATAGACTTTTTAAGATAAGTCAGTGAGCGTTACCATCTTCGGCTGCATTTAAGTATTATTTATACTAATTTAATTTTAAGCTTTTTTAAATTCAAGCTTTTTTTCGGTATACACTAAGAACACTGCTCAATGCTGCGCTAGCATTCTTATTAGGTTTTGCTCAGTGTTCTCAGGGCTAGAAGGCGTTATTAAAAATAGCGTTTTAAAACGTTTGGACCGGTTCCTTGCATAACATTTTGTTCGGAACAAAAACGAAATGAGAACGTAAAGAAAACGGTTTATTCTACAGCAAGCTAAAGGGATGGAAGACATTTGCGTAGTAAGGAATAATAGTATTTAAGATTATGACTGTGGCCGTGGAAGGAAAAGGGAAGATCTCCCGCCGGGCAAGGTGTTCTGCCCGGGGAGCGGCCAACACTCCGAGTGATGGTTCGGAGAAGTTCTATATATACTGTCTATGATTCGGAATGTTGATAGCGTGATTTAAGCTTCGGTGTGTTTCGGTGTGCTGGTGGCGCGACGACAGCGCCGCTACAATGACAAACCATATTTTTTGACATTTTAAATAAAGATACCAGACATTTATTTTTCAGCACAATGTTTTGATTATGTAACATTTACTTTAGTTGCATATCGTCACCAGCCATATGTCCATATCTGTTTCTGTGTATTTATTTAAATATTTCTACATACACGTTCGCATACGTGGTTCAACGCATCGTAATTATGAAGAAATAAGTTTTCCGTAATGTTCATTCTTAAAAATGGGAAAAAACTGTTTAAAATGGTTAACAACGTTTTATTGAACAAGAACGATTTAATATTTCGTTCTCTTCATAAACGTTTTTATTATGATGATGAAAAATATACCGTTATCCGAGCCCTGGGTGCTATCACTGGTGAAAGATTCGTTCCGTTATGGACTGTCAGTACCTATATTGCCGCTGTACCTCTGCCGGTACTTTGATCACGTGATCAAAAACATAATAGTGCCAAGAAAAACAGCTTCCATGAATTATTGTTATTATTATTATTAATCAATATTGTTATTCAAATAAAGACAGACATTAAGTTTTAAAAGCAACAACATTCATTAGTAATTTTTCTTGTTGAACAGAAAACGTGTATGATAATTATTTTTATTTGAAAACAGTGTCGAAAAATGGGGATGACAGTATACTGGACTGCGTTCCGTTTTAAAAACACAGTATAATTTTATCACAGAATACTGAATTGACGTACCTTACAGTGGTCACAGTGTCTATCGGAACACACCTAATGTATAGAATTTAAATCTACTTTATCAGTATTAACCTCTCAGGTCCGGACATTTTATAGGACCAGTCAGACCTATGGTCAGGCTATAGAGTATTTGGTGGTATAGTACTCTATGCTATTATTTGCTCTGAGGGTTTCTCTGAGTTTTGGCGGGAACTTGGCTATTGACTGATTGCTGCTCCTGTTTTATCGCTTAAATAATGATTTGAAGTGGGTTTTGATTCGTAAAAGTGATGCGCTTTTGTGAATTAAGTGTCTGCGTGTGTAAATTATTAGAGAAAATGACGAAACAAGTGCTTCGATGTTGATGTAAATCTCAAGTTATTTTGATCGCTTAGGCGCTTTATGAACTTGAGTGACTATCGTCATCTACTATCCGCTGGGTTGAGCTGTCGTCAAAACCTTAAGCTTAAGATATTAATTTTAAGTTATTAAGCCCTAAGATATCTGTATCTACAAGGTGCGGAAATGAAGTTATATGGGGGGAACGTGACCTAAAGGTTTTATCAGACAGGAAGCGGTCACGCGTTCACGCGTTCTAGCGTTCCGCGTTCGTGTTTTGCGTTCGAGCGTTCAGTTGCTCACGAATCACGAACGCCTATGTTCTGGTTGACCGACGCGGTCAGAACGTCTGCTGTCTGGGTATGTCTATGTAACGTAATACAACACAATGAACGCAGAACGTGAACGCGAAACACTTTTCTAATGACCGCGTCAATGAGGAAAGGTTCCTTGGTTCCACGGCCGCCGCCCCAACATCCATTTTGAGCACATGACATCACTTGATTTGATTCCAGGTGACGAGTAATTCTCGCGCTCAAAATGGATGTTAGTGTCTTGTATAGGGCCGGTAGACACGTGATGGGGCGGTATTTGCTCGGGTCTCTGCTTAACAGGTCGCTCTATGCGCTCCGTCAGTTTTTGCATTCGTAACCACAGTACGTCTCCGGCTTGGGACAAACTAAACATTTGTCCCAGCAAGCACCATCCTGACGGTGCGCACAATCCTAGGCCTGGTATTGCCTGACCTGAAGCATATCAGTCTGCCCATGAGGGCCCTAGCCTTTGCGATACGTTCTTCAATTCTTATTCTCCAGACTGGGCTAGTACTACTTTGTCCAGTAGCGCGTCCAGCCGTGGGAAGTTTGGCGCCTATAATACGGCAGACTGCCAGTGCGGCGCCAAAAAGAATTGAGTCCGTCTCGCAATGGTCCCGGCTGGCTTCCAAATAGGTCACCAGCATTGGGTTCAGAGCTCTTACGATAGCCCGATTCCGCTTGCTTAGGGCTATGCGGGGAAGTCGCGGTCTATTTTCGAGAGGCGTACTGCGCGTTTCCACAATCGCCTTTCCCAATGTACTCCTCGTTTGCTCTAGTTCCAGTTCCTGGGCGACTGTTCGATCATCGTTTGAATGAACCACAACTGGGGTATTCACGGCGGCATCCACGTTTGCCTGTTGCTCTGCAATTTTTGGTGCCGCATCCTCAGCCATAGCATTTTCATCCGATGAAGGAACAGCCTCACGTCGTAGCCGTTCGAGTTCGGTGACATCAAATGTATTTGAGCGCAAGATATACCGAACTCGGTCTGCCAGGTTTTGCTCGGTAACGGTTACAGACGGCTCTAGCTCAGCAAAAGTCGATGCATCCTTGCCCGATACGCAAAACCTCCAATTACTCCCCCTTTCGCCCTAAAATACGCCCGCAATGCGTTGCTGTTCATTTGGGTTGTCCAACGCACGCGGCGTGCTCCACCAGTGGCGGGTGTCGATTGCTGGACCCGCGAAGACCCTGCCGAAACCAAGCCAGCTGGAGGGGATGATGGATGCGAGGGGCTACTAGGTGGTCGTGTAGCACGTCGCGCTCGACTGGTGGTTCACATGCTGTCACGTCCAGCGCCAGCTCCGGACGCGCCCTGGCGACCTCCAGGCTTTGCGCGTTCTATTCAATTCCAACATCCTTTATTATTATTATTAAACTCTCCCAAAAACTTCACAATGTGGCGCATCAGCTTACTGTAAAGAAAAAATTTTTAAAAATGAAATCCCGAAAGAAATGATAGGCTCAGAAGAGCTAGAAACCAGAGCTGTAAAGCCAGTTAATTAAAAAAAATTTGGGTTTCTCTGTGACTTGACATTAACAGATTAAAATTAGGCATGTCGATTCACTCATTCCAATTTCTGCAGTGTACTTTGATATGAGCAAAGCATTTGATAGTGTTGGTCATGATATTCTCGTAAAAAAAAATTGAAGCTTATGGTATAAGAGGGCCAGCTTACTCCTGGATACAAAGCTATTTAAAAGATAGAAAACAATGTGTTGAAGTACAACAAAAAGATAAAAAACGGCAAGACATTTTGAAATATAAATCTTCGTACTTACCAAATGATTACGGAGTGCCACAAGGGAGTGTTTTAGGTCCTTTACTGTTTTTAATTTACATAAATGACCTACCAAATTACATCAAACATAATACAATATTATTTGCTGACGACATTTCTATTTTAATACCGAAAATAAATTTAAATTCTAGTAATAAAGAATATGAAAATGAAATAAATAATACTATTATAAATGTTGTTAAATGGATAAAAAAACAATAATCTAAGCATAAATCTATCCAAAACTAAATTTATGCAATTCTACAATGTTAAAAGTAAACCGCAATTACTTGATATTAAGTATAATGGTGAAAAAATTACTGCTACTGAATGTACCACATTTTTAGGTATTAGTTTAGACAAACATTGTAATTGGAAAAATCACATAGATAAAGTTTGTTCTAAAATATTTAAATTTAATTTTGCTCTGCGAAGTCTAACTTCAATCTCGTCAAGAAACACTTCTCTTATAGCATATCATGCGTATGTCGCTGCTGTATTAAAATATGGTCTCATATTATGGGGAGACTCGACTGATGTAAACCGTGCTTTTATAGCGCAAAAACGCTGTATACGAGCAATTTGTGGTGTCGGGCCACTAGTTTCTTGCAAACCACTGTTTAAAGAATTGGGTGTTCTTACGCTACCATCCATGTACATTTTTGAACTTTCAATATTCGTAAAAAAAGTATCCTCAGTTTTTTACTAGATTAAAGGATACGGTAACTTATAGTACCAGTTACCCAGATAAAATTATTTTACCTTCATTAAAAACTAGCCTGTATTCAAAAAATTGCTATGTGATGGCTATTCAAGTGTTTAATAAAATCCCAAATGAAATAAGGCAATTAGATTATAATCGATTTAAACGTAATTTATTAAAGTGGCTTTTAGAAAAACAGTTTTATTCGGTAAATGAACTGCTAAAAATAAAAGAACGTTTCTATTGACTGTAAAATGCTGTTTCTTATCTGATTGTGTTTTAAACGATTAATATTAAGATTGTAAAGTGATGCATGTTTAATTTTACTTAAATTTTTGTATATTCTAACCATAAGTTAATTAGTAAATAAGTTTTCATATACCAAAATTGGTGAAATATGTGAATCATTATTATTTTTATAAGAACATCTTTGTACCATATTTCTTGTGAATAAATTTATTTATTTATTTATTTATCTTAAAAAAATCGATCTCTGAATCGATTTGAATCGAAGGTACTTGAATCGATTATCGATTAAATCGAGGATTAAAAGATCGATTTTCGATTAATCGCGACATTTTTAAACATGAAATTTCAAGAATTTTCGATTTTTTTCTTTAGCTTCTAAACTGTTTTTTTTTTTAATTTTTTAAAATAAAATATTAGTAATCTTATTGATTAACATTACTAATATTCCTTTTAACCACTCTTGGTAAGCTTGAAACGCTTGTATTAGGAGTGGTTCGCACATACTCCACTCGATCCCTTTTTTTACATAGTGATTCCACGTAACACTTTTATTTGACATTTTAGGCTAAAAACAACAACAATACTTTAACAGAAGTGCAAACTGCAACGTACATTTCTTGATAAATCTGTTTCAATCTAATAACTCACTATTTGTCATATCGAAATGAATGCTACACGAACACAATACTGGTTATTTCCTTACTATAAACCTCTATAAACTTCAACATACGGTATAATATTTATTTACAGTATCTAGATATTTAAAAAAGTACTCTGTCTGTACTTACAGCTCACAGTATGTATATTTTTGATAATAAATAATGTAAATTCACAAGTTCACAGTTCAAACAAGTTCACAGCTATATTATAGTACAAGAGGTGAAATATAATATGAAAATATCACTCGGTCGATCGAAAAAAAAATATTTATAGTTTGGGATGTAATATATATTACATCCCAGTGGAAACGGTTCCATTTAAAAGTATGGTGGGCCACTATTACCTAATTTATATCTCGAGATGCAAAATAAATTACATTATATCCCTTAGTGGAAAGTGGGCTTAAGAATTTTAGAAATAAAAATGAAATGACAACTTTTCGATATTGTTGGATGCGTTCATAAACATTTATTTAATTCAAAAATATATTACGTTTAAATTATCAACCAAGTACAACCGGTTGTTTTGCGTCCCCCAACAGCAAAAAATTAAAAAACTGTGGTATCTTACACCACCCACTTTGGGAATTTTAGCTAGTTCTTGTATCAAATGAATCAGTCCGATTCAAGAGGTATTTGGATCGATTCAGTGAATCGATGCGGTGCTTCGAATCGATCTAAAAATCGATAATTTTACTCTAAAGTAATCGATTTTAAATCGACATGCTCTAAATCAAATTCCATAGTGTTCAGTGCAAATTCCCAAATCCCAAACTCAATGTTATTTGTTATCATTTGTTATTGCCACTGACTTAGAAGTATATAGGTATTATATCTTGATGATTATTGCTGATACTGATAATCAAATGAATGTCCCAAGATAGTTTGCTTATTGCTTGTACTTGCAAATAACGCCAATAATAAGGTCCGCTAAAATGACAGATGAAAGGAATTTTCGCTCATCGTATTATGAAAAAGTAGGTTGCCGTGGTGTTGAAGAAAAGAAATCGTTAGAAATACTTATGAAAGAAAAACCATGGGATAAAGTTAAGTTAAAACAATTTTGTCTACGGTTTATGGTGCCTGCTGCTTATAGAAATTTGGTATGGAAGGTATTGTTAGGTGAGAAACTTTTTTGCCAACTTCATTATTTGCACACTAAAATATTTTAGTTTTATAGTGTTACTGACAGTCTTAATTGATTACTAAATAATCGTGCAATATGAGGTTGAAATTTACATACTTCATTTGAGTACAGAAAATGTAAAATTTTAGTTGTTTGTTCTTTAATTAATGTTCTATGTAAAATTTTAAACGAACCTTTGATTGCTACCCTTTAGGCATACATTACAGGCTCATGTTGCTCATGCACTATCAATTTTCCACCAATCACGGTTGTGATTGACGAATAACCTACCATGTAATGTAGTAATTGACGTCTGCATGAGCGTGTAATATACGCATATCTGTCACCATCAAATTTTTATCAATCATGATTGATGGAATTGACGACTGCATGAGCTGTAATGTACACCTTACAATATACGAGGGCTGCACTAAAAGTATCGGGAATGGAATATTTCCACTGTTCCTGTCATATTAAAATCTTTTTAATTGAAAACTCCTTTGTTTTAAAAATCGAATACCATTTATTTATTTAAAAAAAAGATTCACGGTTTTGTCACAAGCTTTTGTCAAGCTTGTTTAGTCGTTGAGAAAATGGAATTGACTCGAGAAAATTCAAGAGCGATGATTTATTATGACTTTCGAAGTGGTTTAACACAAAAACAGTGTGTTAACCGGATGATTTCTGCATTTGGTGATGAAGCCCCATCCAAAACCACAATTTATCGCTGGTTTGCTGAATTTCAACGTGAACATGTCAAGCTCAGTGATGATCCCCATCAAGGTCGTCCAAAAACTGCAGTCACCCAAGAAAACGTTGATGCTGTGTGTAAGCTGATTGAGGAAGATCGACATGTGACATACTGCGAAATTCAGGCAACTTTAGACATTGGCATGAGTTAAATACAAATAATCTTGCATGAACAATTAGGTGTAAAAAAGTTGTTTTCCCGATAGATACTGCATTCGCTCTGTGAAGAGAAAAAGCGGCTCGTGTTACTTGGTGCGTCAGAACTCTTGAAAGATTCCACGCAAGATCCTAAATGCTGTATACAACATCATATCAGGTGACAAATTCTGGATATATGTGTACGAACCTGAAACAAAAAACCAGTCACGAGTTTGAGTGTTCAAAAAGGAGTTAAAGCCAACAAAAATTGTTCCTTCACAAAGTGTTGCAAAAAAATGGTGGCCACGTTTGTCTCCAAAACCGGCCATGTTACAACTATTCCTCTTTAGGGACAAAGAATGGTTAATGCAGAATGGTATGCTAGCATTTGTTTGCTACAAGTTGTTTCTGAACTCCGTAAAGAGAACTGCAACCGCCGCATCATCTTCCATCACGACAATGCGAGTTCTCACACCGCACACAGAAC